AATCACAGGAACAGACATGGAGAGACATTTTTCAAAACTAGCCACCTAAACTACAAATCCCCCTATGACTCATGTCTTCTACAATTACTCATTGTAAACTCTTTGGGAAAGGAACATCTTTTTGTTCTGTGTATGTACAGTGCCTAGCATAAGGGATTCTGGTCCATGACTGGGATGCCTGGGCACTATGGAAATGCAAATAATAATAAATAATATTAAGAATTTGCAATCCAATATGAATAGAAATTTGCATGTGCCAAGGGGCACTTATGCATGAAATTCCCAGTTTGCATGAACAGATGCTGACTTTACATATGAAGTTTAGGCAGCCAGTTTTGCAGATTTGGCCATGTCACCTCAACTACTGTTGTTTATTTAGCACCAACAATTTGCTTTGTGTACAAGATGCACGATCAAAAACGCAATCATTGCCTCAGATTGCTTACAGTCTAAAAGAAAGATACAGAAGAAGACAGTATGCACTGGAAAAAGCACACATGAGGATACAGACTTTTGTCCCCCTTTTTGCCCCCCCCTTATAATTAAAATATGGACATTGTGTAAGAATTAGGCTCTGAGGAGGAATATAAGGTGATGTCCTAGTTAATTGGAATTGGAATTCCGTGAATAACAGACAGTATGGGATAGGAGTGAAGTTGTTCGCATGTGGAAATGTATCCAACACTTGCAACTGTGGGTTTCATCTGATATTTTCCCTTTTTCATAAAAAATGGATTGTGGTACCTAAAAGTAAAATCAAGCTCTCAAACTGTGCCCACAATATTTCACATCTAAGTTTTTGTGTATGCAAAAATTCAGATCTGTATGTGCAAACTGGGTTTGATGTAATTCCCCAGTTTATACCGATACATCCAATTTGCACCTTCAAATCTGACATTTCTGTGTGCAAAAAATTAGATGTGAAAAATTGCAGGCACTATTTTAAAAGCGGGGATGCGCCCCAGATGTGTTAAGCCTATTGAATGGAGAATAGCATAAGATGCCATCTCGTATGAAAACTTTCTGTGTGCCTCTCCCATGTTCCCTAATTTGCAAGAGTTTCTTACAGCAGAATTGTTCTTCCTGGGATATTTTCCTTGAAGACAAAAATGGATATAGTGACATTTTCTCCCTTTTATTACATAATGCCTTACAAGAATTTCCACCACGCAGAGGACAGTAGCATTTGGCCTCTAGATAATACTTAGTCCTGCCATGAGTGCAGGGGACTGGACTAGATGACCTCTCGAGGTCCCTTCCAGTCCTATGATTCTATGATTTCAAATGCACAGTGAATATACACTGTGAACATTCACTAGACATATGAAAAGCACATCCTCACAATAGCATACTACTCAGGGGACTTGCAAAGACATGAAGACATTTAGATTAAATCACATATATAGTCCCACCATTGTAGTTCCCCATTGTGATATTTTATAAAACTCTCATAGCAACATTTTGGAAATCTTCTACAATAGCTATGAGGAAAGGAAAGAAGGAAAAAATAGAAGAACCCCGAACAGGAAGTCAGGGTACTGGGGTTCTGTTTGTCACTATGCTGTTTTGTGGGTGACTTTGTCAAGTAGAGACTTGAATCTCTCTGTGAGTTTCCTCCTTTGTAGAAGATGAAGACAATGCACTTGCAATTGTTTATCTCACAGTGGTGTTGTGAGATTTACAGTAATTCCTTAATGTTTGTAAAGCACTCTCAGATCTTCAATTGCAAGCAATATATAAATTCAAAGTATTATTATTACGTATTCTAAACATCAAAATATCTTTGGGAATTCAGTAATCTTCTGTTCTCTCCCACTTTTAAATTGCCCATTTTATTTAAAAGAAAACAAATACTAGATGGCATTGTATAAAATCAAGAGGAACCAAGTGAGGCAAAGAAAACAAAAGAGTGTAATTTTACGTGCACAGACAATAAGAGAGGGGAAAGCAACAATAACAAAGAACAACACAAAGGCAAATCTGTACTCAGAATCCTCAGGCTAAGATGGAGCCTATCTGTAAAATAGTTCTAAGCATTCTATTTGCAGTCACCTCTGAAATGCTGCATTATTTAATTACTGCTTCCTCTCCACTCCTCCCATTTATGGCCAAACCAGTAGCTCTCAGGCAGGCCAATCTCCCACTGGTTTCAAGCTTTGCTGATTTCGGAGGCAGATTTTCTACCAGAACTTCAGGATCTACTGTTTAGTGTGGGCACTGCTACAATACAGTCCTTATGCTCTTCCCAAGTAATAACAACCCAGATGCAAGTTGTGCAGAAATTATGCCAGCAGAGAAATAAATATGCAAGGAGACAGCAAAACAACAAACAGGTGACAAATAATCCTGACCTATTGTAGAATGGCAATATTATTAGGGGACTAAGCCAATTCTACTAAGCCAAGCTATTGAGGCCAGGTCTACAATACAGACCTATATCGGTATAACTATGTCACTTTGGAGTGTGAAAAACACCCCTGAGCAACATAGATATACCGACCTAACCCCCCGTGTAGACAGTGCTATGTTGATGGGAGATCTTCTCCAATCGATATAGCTACCGCTTCTCAGGGAAGTGAATTAACTACACAGATGGGAGAAGCTCTTCTGTTGGCATAGGAGCCTATTCACTTAAGTGCTAAAGCAGCACAGCTGCATCTGTGCAACTGTGCTGATGCAGCGTTTTAATTGTAGACCTGCCCTGAGTAATATTCACCAGAATGGCTTCACTTTCTCACTCATACCTAGTTCTTCATTTGGAACGGTGTACAAACAGCAATGCTAAATATATGGGACAAGATTGTACAACCCTTACTCATGTTGGTGAGCACTTATTCACATGAGTAGTCTCACTGAGGTCAATGGAGCTATGGTACTAACTGAGAGAGTAAGGTGCCCACCAAAGTGAGTATGGGTTGCACAGTCAAATCCATGAGCAGACAACTCTTCTACTGAGTGCAGTGTCATTTTCAGATTATGAGATCTTCTGTTTAAAAAACATTGACCAGCTTGGTAGGATAGAGTTTTAATCCCGAAGCAATCAGTCACTTGTGGCTTCCCTATTTTGTTGGCCCATTATCCAATGGAAATAATGGAACTCATGAGCAGACACTGGCAGCAACACCATCCACCAGATCCATCCCCTCCTGCAAAATTACCTGACTGAGCAGCAACCCATGGTTTGATATTTGCTTCCAGCAGCTTTAGCCCATGTTCTTGCTTAGGGAACCCACAAGAACCATAAAGCTGTTATTAGGTAGTATGGTGGTGGTAGTCTATGCTGCCACAGGATCATGATTCAGCTGTCAGTACCAGGCTCTCAGTCCCTGGATGGGCAGAGATCTGATGCCCAGCCTGACCTAGACTATCCTAAAAGACAGTAAAATGTTGTGAATGAGCAGGGTCTGCCTGCCAGCATCTTTGACAGAGAAAGTGATGCTTTGCTTTTTCCACCTCATTCTGCTAGTAGGATTTATACTCTGAAGCTGGACTGGCAAATTTGGAGAACTCATACTAACCCACCTATGACATTTGTGCTCATTCCCCACTATATATTGTAAACTACTTCTGGGTATTTTAATGTTTCTAAATACTGAACACATCTGTGGCTGTTGATTTTTCAGTTCACAGAGTTACCTTCCAATCAGCCTACATTTCAGTAATGCAGAATGCTTGATCAAATCAGAGATACGTAAATTTTAGACCACTGGTCAATCAAGTCCAGTACCCTGTTTCTGGCAGTAAGAAATACCCAGTGCTTAACTACGCCACAGGTACCCTAAGTGCCAACAGCTACAAATTCATACTAGCTCTTCCAGTTGGCTAAGTATTTTATAATCTTGAGCTAATTCTGCTCTTAGATATACCAGTGTAACTCTATTGAGTTTCTACAGATTTACACCTATGTAAATTGAGTGAATTTGGCCCATTGTCTAAAAATTATCCTGTTTCATGTTTGCTTTCATTTAGTCTCATTGATGGAAAGGTAGATTTGTGGAAAACAAGTTTAATAGATGAATTGTCCAGAGTAGGTGGATGTCTAGTTGTATAGATTATTGGCTTCTAAAATTGTGTGACATATTTATCACAATTAATAATTAGTATAATCCAGTTGCCATAAATTATCATCTTTGATACAAATGCTTAAAAGAGTGGGTCACATGCAAGGACTTCATAATTCAAATAAACTCTTCATTAATGAAAAATTAAGTTTTAGGCCTAATAGGGGTACATCTACAGCTCTTTGAATTTGTTAATTAAGCTATTCAAAACCTTGATGCTTGTCATGTACTGATGGCTGACATAGCTGATTTGCAAAAAGCTTTTGTTGTGGGTTGTTCCTTAGTATGGATAAACCTGTGTAACATTCGCAAAGGTATCATCTCTTTTTAATAGGGTTTTTATTTTTTACCGTTTACTTCTTCATTTGATGTTAATTTCCCCCCCTGTATTCTTAGGGAAGCAGAAACTAACCAACATGGCTGCCTATATTTAGACTTACAGTTCACTGATGCCATTGAATGGTGCATGAATTCTGCCTATATGGGCCCTATAACCACAGGTGCCTATAGAGGGACTGAACCTGAGTGATTTTACTGGGACATGGGGGCACTAAGCACCTTTCAGGATCAGGCCCATAATAACACAACTGGTTTTTCAAAGTTAATATTCTTGTTTTATTCCTTATTATTAAAGCCAATAAATAGCTGTGTGCTATGGACTAGCCTTCTCCCCAAAGGCTCACCCCACCCTCCAGTGAAGCTCAGTGCTAGTGTATAACTTTGCCATGTGAAGTGGCGCCAGCTCTCATGATTTTATCACAAGCCTCCGGACAGCTGGTGCCTCTCCTAAAGCCCCAACTGCTGGAATCAAGAGATCGCATGGGGATCTCAGCTTTCATTAAAAAACGTTTATTATTTTTAGCCCATCTTGTGATGTAGGGCCCCCAGTGTCACGGTTTTGCCGTTACTACACGGTCCGCAGGGGAGAATGGCACCTACTGTCCTCGCAGCTCAGCGGTTGCTCTGGAGGTGAACGTACAGCAAGGCCGAAGCTTTCCTGAAAGGATCCCTAACCGCGTGGCGGGAACGGGGCCCGCCCTGCAGCTGGGGGGAAGGGGTCTCCTCTGGCTCTCGAGACGGGGGCAGGGCGGACGGGGGGTGGGAGAAAACGGCGAGGGGGCGAGGGCGAGCGAAGGGGGGTGAGGAAAGGGAGAGGAACGGGGAAGGGGCAGGATGAGGGGGCTACGGGAGTGGCGGGAAGGATGGGGGAGGGGTGGGAGAGCGAAGGACGGAGAGGGGCTCTGAGGCGAGGAGGAGGGGCGGGAGCTGGGTGGGCGGGGCCGTAGCGAGAGTTCGGCGGGAGGGGGCTGCGGGGCGGGGCTGAGAGGCGCTGTGGCCGGGAGAGGGCGGGGCTGAGGGGCTCTGAGGCGGGGCGGGAGCTGGGTGGGCGGGGCCGTGGCGGGAGCTCGCGGGAAGGGGGCTGGGCTGCGGAGCTGAGAGGCGCTGTGGTGGGGCTGAGGGGGCGGGGCTGAGAGGCGCTGTGGCCGGGAGGGGGCGGGGCGGGGCGCTGAGGAGCGGAGCGGAGCGGAGGAGCCGGCTGCGGGCGCTATTCCCTCCCTCGCGGCAGCGCTGCCGGGCGCGAGTGGCGCGGCGCCTGCGCACTGCGCCTCCCGCTCTTCCGAGGCTGTGCCGGCAGCGGCTCCTTCACTAGGCTGAAGATGGCGGAGGGTGGCGGCTCGTCGCTGAAGGGGCTGCGGGAGCAGATGGGTGAGAGCTGGCAGGGCGCCTCGCGCCCCGGGGCTCTGGCTGTAGCTGGGGAGAGGGGAGCGGGGCCCCGGGCCCCCTGTGCAGCCGGCGCCGCGGGGAGGAGAGGAAGTCCCCTCTGATGCTGTGGGGCTGCCCTGAGAGCAGGCCAGGGACGCGGCCCTCAGGCGGGCTCCTGGGCCTCGGGGAGATCGTGAGTGCCCCCAGTCTTCCGCTCAATGGCCTGAGCCCTGCGCCCTGTCTCAGCCCAACTCCCTTTCTCCCACGTGATCCTCTTGTGTCTTCCCCACGCCCCCCCCATTTGTCTGTGCTGCCCCCCACCCTGCCTCTGATCTCCCCCTGCCCTCCTCCTTACTCTGTGCTGCAGAGCTGGCTTTGCAATGGAAAAGGGATTCTGCGGAGTCTCTCACAGCTTTAAAATCCCAGGCCTTCCTACGTCTGGGTTTTAACTTCAAAATATTTCCTGAGTGGAATATGAAACACAGGTTTCTTCACCTCCCCTCTTCCCTCCAATGCATAGATGTTGGATTAATATGCAGGGTCTGATTTACATAAAAAAAATCCTACACTAACCCTGATTTGCCTATAAAACTGCAGCACGTAATTTTCTTCCAAGACTTGAGCTGCTGATTTGAGATGTCCACAATACATAGACAGGAATGAGTGCCACTTGAGGACTTCATCTTAAAATGAATTGTCTGCCTTTTGTGATCCCTTGAAAGTCCAAACTGTTATATTTCTTTAATGAGTCTTGTCTCAATTTTCTAGATTTTTGCAGACCACTCATCAGTTGTCATGCCCAGTGTCTGCTGCAATATCTTGCAAAGGATGATGTACGTGACAGTCTGAATTCTGAAATGTTGTTTCCCTATCAAACTCTTAATGAGGCTTTAACACTTTTTTGGAATTAAGATACAAGTAAAGGCAAAATATATTTAAATTTAGTTTGTTAGAAACTGCTTTGATTCTTTCCTGTTTGAGACTGTGTTATGTATATTGAGGTCCTTGTTAATCCATTTTGTGTTCTGTGTAGAGTGAGTGTTATGCTTGTCATGGTGCATGTGTGCACACAATAGATTTGTGGGTGAGTCAGTGCAGATGAAAACATTTTGATTATTCCAGACTAAGCGTAATGAACGGACTAAAGAAAGAAAGGGTTATGATCTCTGGTTTGATGTAAAATTAACTAACCTAGACTGTGTGCAAACTTACTTTGTCAGTGTTTAAAGTTATCAGTCTGTTTCTGTGGCTGTGATTTCTTTATGTACCAATGCAATTACTGATGTAAGAGTTCTGGTGACTCTTACAAATTGGTCTTAAGGTCTTGAGTCTTCAGCTCAGATCTGGAAGTCTTTCTTCCTCCTTTGATACAGAAGTCCGATATAGACTCTGTGTGTTGATTCCCCTTTCCAGTTTTTTTAAGATTAATTTAGTGGCTTGTGAAAGATAATTATTTGACCCAGGACATCAGACTCAAGATCTGTTGTCCACAGACTAGAGAGAGCACAGGTAATAGCAACACAGCTTCACCAGCATAACTCAGTCCTGACCTGAAGGGACTGTAACTAAGAGTGAAAGGGTCATTTATTTTATGAGCCCACTTTGTTCTTGTTCTCTCTGCTGAAATTACTAATTTGTATCGTGTTTTGTGAGATGGATGCCTATCTGATGGAAACTAGACTGGAGACTATCAAATCCTTCCAGAGACCACCAAGCAGATGGCATCCACTCTTGTTAACAGCTGTTTTGGACTAGATGCAGGTAACCAGAAGGGAAGGGTTCCTAGAGCCATCCAGCCCCACCTCCCTTTCTAAAGTGAAGATCTTCTTTTAAAAAACAAAATTAAAATAAAAAGTGACACTAAAAATGACAGGGCTTGAAAAATCCTCTTCCTTTCTTTCCCCATAGGAAGTGAAAATTGATGGAGCAGAATCTGAACTTTAACGAAAACCTATTTTATTACTTTGGCTACAGAGATAACTAACATGAATTAATGTAGTGCTGTGTTTTTGAGTCTGCAAACAGACAATTCCAATATGGTTTTTTCCAAGTGGCCAGAGAGTGATACTGGGGAGGGTCAGTTCCAGAGCCTATATCCAGGACCCTGTGGGAAGCAGTGAAATTGACAAGAATCATGGCACTTTTTATTTCTGCTGTTTAGCAAAGTTGTGAGTGGCAGCCAAGTCACACACACAAGCTATTTGCAGATGAGGACTGAAAAAAAGGAAACTAGGAGGCTGTAGGAGCAATAGAGTAATGAAAACCCTTTTACCCTACCCCCATTGCCAGTGCCAGCATTTGTACAGCAACAAAGAGGACCTCAAGAGGCTTGTCGATTTTGGGTGTGTGTGTGTGCAGGAATGTAACTTTCTGCCTTCCAATAGACAAAGGGTGAGGGGAGCTACAGACTTATCAAATACCTGGTAGCCAGATGCTAATATGCAGTATGGACAGCATCCTGCCAAGAAACCAAAGACCCTCCTCTTTCCTAGTAGCTGGGATGGAGTCTGGGTTTTTTTGCAGAACATTTACACTGGATCTTTCTGGCTTCCTCTTCCATGCCTCCAGTCTTTCATAGCAACCTCTGGATGTAGGTTTAGTCTTCTGGCTGGGAGAAGTCTGGTCACTGTTTCAAGCTCTGAAAATTGGCATTGTGGGGTTCTGCTCTTCTTATTTCTCAATAGCTTCCTTTTCACATTTGCTAACTTTAAAGTAAAGAGATGGGTTTTTCTGCATTCTCAACCGTGCCTACTCAATCTGAGGGAAAGTGTGCTTTTTCTTCATGCATCACCTGTAATAAAGAGGTTATGCAGGCCAAATCATGCCATTAATGGCAGTTCTGCAATTCCATTGTGTTCAAGTTCTTTCATCTGTCCAACCTTATTGCCTTCAGCCAGACAGCATGAGAGCAGAATTTGGTCCTGCAAATAGAATTTGGTTAACACTTCCGTGAATGATGCATGCTTAGGAAATGTATTAAACCTTGATCTAAAATATGATAAACAGCTACATATAAAAGGCACCATCTAACTCCATTGAAAATATCCAGAGATCAGATCAAAATTATATTCTCTTATGGGGACAAAAGGGGGTTTACTCATATTTCAATTCTGTAAACGCTGTTGAGCCCATACAGATTTGAGAGAGGGTGTTAGACTGTTGCTTTCTGTGGTTTGCTCAGTTAGAAGGCATTTACTTCTTGAGTAATATAATCAGATATTAATATTTGAAATTATTTTAAGTTAGAATAGGCTGCTTTTGCCTTTTTAGTCTATTAGAGTCACGAAACGCTTTATCTTGTCTGTTGTGATCTTGTTGGCAACTGGCTGTTACGTTGCAGGAACTTAGCGCCATTCACTTCTGTTTCATTGGGAGATATCGCTCCGTGATGTATATCGGATCATTGTGTGAATGGGTATTAAGTTGTTGTTGTTGTTGTTTTTTAAGTGCCAAATCCTACTTTTTTCAGAGATGTGTATGCTCAAGTTGGAAATATTTGCAAATTTGAGTTAGGACAGCAGCATGGTGCCTCCTTCCTGTGAATATATTTTGACAGATCTGCTGTGGGCATAGTTTCTATCTCTTGGCTAGTCAAGACCTATATGGTCAGAGCTTATATCCATTAAAAAAATTAGTAAATTCATTCAATATGTAACCCATAAATTTGCTCCATGTGGATCTCTAATAAAATGTGATGTTCTAATCAGAAAAGTGACTGAATAAAAATAGCATATTACTTAACAGATATGCTCCATTTGTGTATTCAGTTATCTCTTTGTTAGTGACACAAAAATAAAGTTTGTTTATTTTTCCCTCTCCAATTACCACTGCAGAATCAGCACAGGAGGAGAATGAGCTGGCTTCTGTTGCTTCTCATCTATCAATAGAATTGCTAACCAGGGTCCTGATCCTGCAGGTTGTTCTACCTGAATGGATCCTCTATAGAAGTCAGTGGAATTCTATGTGGGTGAAGGAAGAGGTATACCAGCATGGAACAATTTACAGGCTTGGGGCCTGTGTTCAAATTGCAAGGTCAAATTATCTGTCCAGCCCCACTGAAGGGAATTAGTTATACCTTTGCAGCTCCACTTAACCAGCACATTTTTGGTACTATTGCAGATGTGTGAGAAAGACAGAGACCCCATCTTGACTTTGATCTTAGGTTTAGTTTGCAGTATGGCTAGTTTAAAAAAAAAATGCTTTGAACAAATTTGCTTAGGAATCACTGACATAAATATTTAGCTTCACAATGTTACTTTCACATAATCCTTTTTCATAGTAGAACTGTACTTCAGAAGCACAGAATGATGGTTTTGTGTCTACCATGTGACCGGTTTTGTCTGTCTACCTCAGAACAAATATCCTAGTAACTTCTTCAGTAGTTATAGTGCAGATAATTATAACTGTGAT